CCATCCCATCAAGAATCACGTCCATGCGTGGAACCGGGGTCTGGTCGCATCGTTCAGTTTATCAAAAGCGAGAACAACGCGCCAACCACCTGTGACTTTCTTCACACAGAAGGTTGGACTACAATGCGGAGACTTACTCTTACGCACATGAGCAGCCTTCAGTTACTGCGCAAATTACTCGTCAATCGCAATGACTTGTTCTTTTGGCAACGACCATTGCCGTGTGATACAATACTTCGTACCAGGAAGTATGTCAATCTCATGACGATATCCTCTGTCAGATGGCAGTTCGTCCGGCACCTTGTCTAGGAATATATCAGCATTTTTCTTGACAAGGCCATACACGAATTTGTCTTTAGAGCGTTCCACGACTGCGCGTCAAATCTTTCCTTTCGTGTATTCTCATCACATACTTCTACAGTATTGATACGATTCTTCGACGATCGCACATATTTGCAAAATTTCGCCTTTTGGCAGGCTACGCTTCAGCGTCTTCTTGCTCATCAATGGCAGAAAAACAATTTTTGTCTAAACGTGAAGGATAAAATCCTTCACGTGACGAATAACATCGACGTCATCTTCTTCGTTGTAAGCCACAACTTTTTGTACCTTTATCAGACACGCAAAATACTTGACGGAAAACTGTTCTTGGAGGCCTTCTGATTCTGCTTTCGGGATGAGGATTTGCCTATGATCCCACTTCTCTTTATGCTACCATCGGCCATGACTTCCATGTCGATAGCAAAAGAGACAGTCTTTTTTGGCGCCTGACTGCTCCACCTCCAGTTAGTGTTTTTACGTCTTCTTGGGCTTGTCCCGTGAACATCGCACACCACAATATAATTTGGGACATCTGTGACTTCTTCAACAAATGCATACGTCCAAACTGTTTCGTTCGTCGTCATGCATCTCGAATTAGCGCTGCGCGACTTGACGACGACAAACATCATATTCATCCAGTCAGTGCTGGGCTGATAATGCTTCAACCATGACATACCTAGTATGATATCAAACTTATCATCGAGGTCGAGATGGATAAACTTGTCTTCACCTCGATAATCCTCAAAATTCATTGCCAAGTTAAATGACTTGCTTTAGTATTTTCATTCTAGATCCATTCGCTAAGCGAATGACCATCTCTTTTTCACATCAGGCAGGCTAGAGACTATACCCAGTCATAACTTGCGCTCGAACAAAGTGCTTTTGAGTCGCTAAAAAACGTATAATGAATTGCTGGCAGTGTAAATGAAAGCTCGTAGTGATTTCTTATAACCATCTACAAAGACTTCGTGGAAATTCAAAGTCGCACTTTGCCCAACACTTCCATCACGCATAGTAGAAACTGCATGTGCATCATGCACGTTGGGGATAGAGTTCTGTGTATTCACAGCATTCACAGTACTCTTTTTGGGCCCAGTAGGGAGCCCCGCTCCTACTGGTCGCTCCTGTTTTCTTACTCTTGGGAGCGCTCGAACCGACAAACTTTATAGCGTCCGCGGCTATCCGAACGAGCATCCTGTGTCTGTGCCCGACTCGGTAAAGACAATCTGCAGTTCGACTAGCGCGCTTGCCTTGATGCGAAGCCATTACTTGGCTTGCTTGATGCTAAAGTCTTCCTTCATGTCACGATTGATGGCTTCATCCAGCGTCTTGGGATACTCACGGTACAATTGATTCCGGATATCATCACTCAAGCCCGCCATGAGCGTTACGACTTTTCGTCGACGATGCTCGATAGAGCACACTGTGCATACTAGTGTAGGTCAAAACGACCTTGACTTGACGCGGGCACGGAACTCACTCTGTGGTGGCTCTAACGCCTTGTTTAGCTCGGCTTTGAAGTGTTCGTAGCTAGTAAAGCAGGTTAAATCGGCTAAACGCCTCCTATACGCCCAGCTCTTCGCACGGCCCGCAAGGTTGGACATTGCGAACAACACAAACCATCGTAAGAGAGGCTCGTTCTCTCCATCACCGTGCAAAGACACGTTCAGTTTCATAGGCATCGTTCTCTACAAAGAAGCAGGGGCTACGACCTACTTCCGAGGTTTCATAATCTCATGATGCATGAAGCTGACGGCTGCGTTCTTCTGGTTATTCCGCAGACGGCGATTCCAGTAAGCTGACTACTGCAGCTTCTCCGATGGCTTCTCCCATCCACTCGAGTGCCATCCATTCAGATACTAATGAGGAAACATCCCATTCGTCAGAACCTCAGTTTGCGGCACGGATGGACCGAGTGGTACATGATCTCCTTCCATGTCACTCTGACAAGGAGAAGAGTTTGGGCTGGACTGGAATGCACAACGTGCTCAACAGCCGCGTCGTCAAACTAAATTAGAGTTTTGTTGGAAAACCGCTCAAAGTGCTAGTCCCTCAAGCACAACCCACACGCTTGTGCGACAAGGAAGCAGTTTTCGACGGGAAGGAAGAAGGACAGTCCCGACTTGCAGGGAAGAAGAGCGACTGCAGACATTAAAGTTAATTTCGCAACTAAATGTAAATGAGTTATGGGTTCCTAGCTACATGCATAACACCCCAAGAGCTTCTAGAGGTTAAAAATGATAAAAACCTTGGGTTTCTGATTATTAATTCAAGGGTGTACTGAGGTTGAACCTCATCTTCAATTTAAGGGTGTACTGAGGTTGAACCCCATCTTGGGTGTACGGAGCTTGAACTTCGAAAGCTAGAACTATAACTTTGGTGTAAGGTATTTGGTAGAAGTGACTGGTTTACGCCACCCACTTCTAAAGCCAAAGACACGTCGGTCTCGTCACCAGTACAGATCCCCAAGTAGGAACCAGCATTCTGTCTAACGCAGATTGTTTGTGACTTCATAAAAGAAATCACGAATGCATTTGGGAACACCATACTGTAATCTTCATTTATTAATTCCCACAATACATACAGAATGTACATGAATGTACCTTCATATAATGGCTAATTATAATTGGGTGGATTGACCTAATTTAAAAAGACTTAAGGATGTGGCATCAATTCCTGGACAACAACTTGTACTAGTATAGTGCAGATTATGTTGACATGCACTTCAACACCAAATCTTAAAAAAAATCAAACAGGACTGGGTGCAGCAGATGAGGCGGCTTCTTAGGATAAAAAATCCCATGCGTGTCCCGAATCTGAATATCAGGATTAAATTGGCCATTTCATGTAATCCGTGATGCTTCAGCCTTCGCCGTAAGCGAAGCTTACTCCGAGAAAATACACATTCGCGTTTAAGCCTCGTTTGTTCAATGTGGAAGATGATAACTACCCTGTTGATCCCCTAGCAATGAGAGAAACCTAGAGAAATCCGTGTCTAGTTCAAGGTGCACCTGCCTGCTCTTAATGTCATAATTCGTTGCGCACAGTGACGTCGTCACGACATCAATCACAGAAATGGCGAGTTGATTATCCTTTTCGTTTTCGAGCCGTCTGACTCTGAATTGCCGCATGTTGCGAAGGCGACCTCACCCATCGATCAGGCGATACGTATGGCGTAAGGTTCAGACGCAACATATATATCGTCGCTTGGAAGAAATGTTGTTACGAATCTAGGTGCTGCTTTATCGAAGCGCGCGGTTGCACGCCTACATCGCTAGAGTTAATCCTAAGGCTCGTTGTATTACAACACTAACCCACGTGATTCTTACCATTTGTTATTGCCTCACGATGTGGACCTCAAGCGCGGGATTCTGTACAAGGCATATAATAGTGCTTTGGGTGGTCACCTAAAAAAGATTATATATTGCTTGATGCGCGCTTTGTCTTGGTTGCCCAACATGTATAGGGTAAGCATGTATGCGCGCACGTGTCAACATCTGAAAGGTCTGCCGCATCCGTAGTCGCCTTTTGCCAGTCTTCCAGTTCCGGTGAAGTGTTGGCAGTCCTTCAGGATAGACTTCAGCTTCGGTTTTGCAAAAACGCGTCTCGGTAAACACTGACATTGTGATCTTTGTGGACCATCAGAGCAAGATGAGTTATCTTGCAAAGTTAAAGCTTCCACTGTGCAAACTGCATGGCAACTAGATTGCAAATCAAATCAGTTTCAAAAGACGTGCGACCGCTTTACCAAAGAGCGGAACCAAATGCATTTAAAGTTTTTGTGCACTATTTGTGCCTTCTTCTGTTAACCGCGACCTATTTCTTTCAGTAGAATGTTGAATACCTACGTTTTACCATATCTAGTAACAAATCATCTCGACATTATGACTTGCACCTAACCATAAACATCATGAACATCTTTAAGCGGATTGTATTAAATGCTGATGCTTAAATACTTACGAATGATTTAAAATTACAGAAAGATGGATGTGATTTCTGTACAGATATTTTGCGCAAAAAGTCGCTCTAAAGTCTCAAGTGTATGGACACAATAGTACGTACTATTGTGTACTATACGTACTATACAAAGGGTAACCACTCACTTCAGACCACAACGTTAATTTAATGGAGGTGTACTATACTATACGTACTATACGTACAGTACACTTACTATACGTACTATACGTACAGTACACTAACTATACGTACTATACGTACAGTACACCTCCATTAAATTAACGTTGTGGTCTGAAGTGAGTGGTTACCCTTCACTGTCATGTAACAGGGTGCTTTGTTTACGAAAGCTTTTAGTTTGATGATACCGTAGAATATGAAGAGATGGGCTAAGGACATTGAACTTTATCCAGTTGTGATTCTGTGGAAGGTACGTTTAATGATATGGCTATGTTGGTTTTTGCACTAAATGTTATTTTTATGTTTTTTTATGAATCAGTTTAGGCATCGAGGCAAATTCCAAGGTTACATAAAAGTTACCCATTTATGTAGCGTTGTACCTATGTGTGTTCTTATGTATCCTTAATGATAAAGTACCGGATCAGATAATTCTGAGTGGTGCGCACCTGCTACATGGCATATACAAGCCAACCTGCACGCTCGTTAACCTCTCGAAAACCCACTTCACATTTTCATTTGACGTCTTCACCGCTAACCATAGTGATATGCTGCTGTCGGTATTCGCATTTATCGTGACTCTGTCCATCTGCGTGCAAGAGTATGACGCGAATCCTTCCTCTATTAACTCTGATAAGTCTCGTGTTACATCGCTTAATCCCGAGGACATGGAAGTCTTGGCAAATTCACCTGCTGGACTGCGCAGTGGGTGGAAATCCCATGACAGGCAGCAACGCCGACTAATGGTAGGACAAACGGACGATCTAACTCGACCGAAAGGTGCAGTATCTCAAAATCGATTTGGTCTTGAGCCTAAATGACTAACTTTGGTGGATGTAGGAAATTCGTTATTTACAATTGAGGAAGAAATAATGGATGTGAACAAGAAGCTTCCTCAGCCAGAAGCTGAGCCGCATCTTCCTGTGAAAAAATGACTAAATGGAATACCTTTAAAGAGAAGGATGTGCATATTCTCCAGAATGAAATCAAACCGCAAGCCCAGGGGTTATCAAAGAAAGTCCTGAAATCCTACAGGTGCCTCAGAAATTAAATCCCAAAAAGCTTACCTTGGGTCATCGCCTGCAGTCGCTGTTCTATAGATGCTTTAAGGGATTTTAAGGTACTTTGCTGTATCGGAGTTGGTACAAAGCGAGAAGACTTTGCTTTATTGGTTGTATTGCTGGTACATGAATGTCTTTGGTAGCGTTGTTCTTTTAAAATGTATTTCCGCAAAAATTTGAGTTGCCTCACCGTTTCCTTTTCTTTTTTCGCATGGTGAGCTGTTAATCGATGAAATCTATCGATTCAAGACGTTACAATTACTCCACGCATCAAATGCAGATACTAACTGGCATAATATAGGTGACGTGTGATTTGACTGCAGGCATACCGCTGCGGCGGTGGTGGTGAGAGACATACGCAAACATTTCATATTCTGTGTTCAGCACGTAAAGACTTCAAGTTAATAAAAATATGATTCTTCAAGCCAAATGAATATTTATAAAATCATATACGCTCTATAATTCGACGACTTAATGTGATCAATGATCGATCGTATACTACGCTCAAATAAAACTACTAAAAGTATACATATATCACTATTACCTTATTTTGGGTTCATAACGTGATATGCTGCTTAGTGTTTTTGTCGTTCACAGCCACGTACCGATTGGCTATACGTCTTGATGAATCAGCCACCGTCAGCCTCAGCGTCGACTTGCGCAGTTCCATGTATCCCTGCGGCTGTATGTGACAAAGCAAAACCCACCAGGGATCAGCAAACTTAGGTCAACATCGCATTTGAGCTTTTAATCATTAGCATGCTAAATGCGAACAGATGAATAATGCAAAAAACATAAAGAAGTAAGCTTGAGCCTAAAATGAAGTCAGACAATACCGCTGACAGATAATGAGTTGTGGTGAGTATGAGCTGAGCAGGAGTTCATGAATATTGTGAAAGCTAATCAATCAATTAGTCATACCATGTTCGTTCTCGCTCTTGCACCTATCTACTTTAGCCACCGAACTGAACACCACCAACGTGCTCAAGTCAACCCCAACTGAGATATCACTGCACTTGCATGTACAGCAAAGGACCACCTAGAGCTTAAGCGGCTTCAACGGTAACAACACGGCTTGTCGTGCACCTTACACAGAGAAAAAAATACTTATAAAGTCCATGTTAACAAAAGCACATACCCAGGACGGACCGATACCGATAGCCTTGAAAGTACCTGGCTACATTGGTCGTTTGCTATATCAAATGCAGCGGATACCTATTATTAATTATGGATACCAAGTGTATACTCTTTTTAAAAATGTCTTGATTGCTTGACCGGAGCTAATAGTCCGAATGTAAAACAAATATCGCTTTAAAAACCCAATCACCATTTTAAAAGTGTTCATATGCTGATGATTGGCTCCCTTGAAGTGTAATGTATATTTTGTAAGACTGTTAAACATTGTATTTAGACAATTGCACAGACCACGCTACGGTTCGTAATATGTAATGTCCCCACCAGGACGTTATCCACACTGGTGCTTACATTCTTTGATTTTTTACGACAAAGTGCGATGGTGAGCGCTCAGAGATTCCGTACAATTATTAGAACTGTAGCACCTTACGTACATGCTCATGTGTGCACCTATATTTAGGGAGTCCTTCCTCACGTAACAGGATAAGCATCCAAAAATGGCGCGGTCCTTGCGACCAACGTCCTTGAAGATCATACTGGGCGAGAAGGCCGAGGTGTTTTCCTATGAAATTATCGTAGCTATTCTTTTAGTTCTGACCCGATATCTCCTCCCTCACCGAGAGGCACACAGTCGATCCAATCAGTAGACGCTCACTGCACTTCTCCTATTCGTGCTAATTTCTTACGGCAGTGATGTGACACTCCGTCGCGGAGATCACGACACTGTCCGGATCTTCATCAATGACCTAGAAATTGGCATGAAGACTAGCTTCCCGTCTAAAAAAATAGAGGTGTATCGACTCCTGAGATATCGACACATCGAAAGTATTATTTAAAACAGTCGAACTTAGTTTGCCGCGATTGAACAGATCGCTTTCGTACGTATAGCTACTGAGATGCGCGCTGCGCTTGGCGATCTTTACATTACCCCAGGATAGATAAAAGCAGACGTTATTTTAGATCATATGTTGCATCGGAACCAGGGCGATATTGCCAAATCAGAACCCTAGGCTTTCATGAGTTCTCAAAGTGAGATTATCCCTTATATTAACTGGTGTCCGCTCTGGCGGGCCCGCCGGCTCACTACCCGTTCTGCGAAAAAGTGGACCACGTCTTGATCATTACGCAGTGCTTTCTGATGACGACCCTAAAGCGTCTGGCTATCGCAAGACCCTTTTAACTCTTGCAGCATACCGATTCTCTCTAAAAGTATCGGTTTGCGTCTTACTCAAAAATTGAGATATCATTTGGTCCTCTTTTCTTCGACTGTATATGGTCCGAAGAAGCGCGATCTGACATGGTCCTATAGATGCATGTGCAGATTGGATAGCTGCATTTAGCTAAAAATATCGCCTCGTCCATTCTCAGTTTTGATTCGGCTGCTATGACATGACATGATGCTCGTTTCATCTTAGCCATAGAATCCCTGCACCCTACTAATAATGGTCAGTCGAGATAAAACCACTGCATTAGTTAACAAGTCTAACCGAAATCCTAACAGCAAGTCAGAATTGATCGGTAGGTTCTCCTTCACAAAACCGAAACACATTCGTGGCAGTGCCAATGGGACCAGGGGTTAACCAATCCATCTAGAAGGAATTAGTAAGGGCTGTAAAGGCATGTACTATTTCGTTAATTTATTGAGTAAAGTAGCTCGCTCAGCGCATCGATCTTTCCGTCCAAGTGCGTTAATGAAAACCTATCAACACAACTGACACGATCCTTCTGGCCATCTGGCCGGATTGGTCAGCGGCTAACCACATCAATCTAATACAAAGAACCTTGACCAATGTTCACCCTAGAAATTGCAGTCAAATTCAGTACTTTACCCAATACAATGGGCATCGGCAAGACATTTACTCGAAAACCTTCGTCGACGAATACCCTCGGCTGTATCCTCAACGATCGCCTTTTCACTGACAGCAGCAAGAGTGGTCATATTTCTCAGACGGCCCGCAGAGACGACGCTATCGGTACTTCTTGGCGCTTATTTCGGAAGATTGAGAGTAAAGTCGATAATTGTGTACAGCCCACACCTTAACATATCGATAGGCTGGCAAAAAAAGCCGATGCATGTGGCGAGGGTCTAATTCGTCGCCATGTTTCACAGATGCGTACATGAATGCTCACTAAAATATACATGATGACCTTCAGTACATATCACTTAAAGGTAATATGTCCTTTCGTTGGTATCATTAAATGTACCGGGTACTGTTATGTCTACCTGAGGTCCTTATTTCACGTTGAGTATCATGCGTGTCAGTGCTGTAGTGCAAAAAGAAAAGAGATAAGAATTGGAAGTGCAACTTCATAATCGCTCGCTTCGATAATATAGGATCTGACTTTCTAAACGTATTCTTCTAATACTTTCAACAACGAGCATATGATGCGTCTCACTTGTACGCTGTACACATCCCCTCACCGATGGACAACTCACTATCGCTAGACGCGACATATTATAATATGACGACGCGGAAGCGCATCCCCCACTACGTTAGTCCGACACGTCATATTATTCTTTCTACCTCTATGAGAGAAGTGGTGGCAACGCCGCTGTGTCCGTAATAACAAACGGTATATAGACAAGGCAATGCAATATGATCTTGACAAGGGCAAATTTTAAGCTAGTAGTTCCTTGTCGTAGACGAGTATTTTTTTTTGGCAGCCTTAATCTCTTGCAACTCAAAACCGATTATGCAATTTTAGTGCTGTTGACCAGAGACACACGGGTAGAAGTCTTAGTGCAATAATGATGACATTCAAAATGTGTTGGGAGCGGAAGTGAAACACTGATTAAAATTCCTCCTGAAGGTCTTTAAGTGACTGGTTGGCGTTCTAAGATACGCTGTAGGACATCTGAAGCACTAAAAACGCATGTGATTTGATATCACAGCTGCTGACAACGTGACGAACGTCAGAGTGCGCTTACTTTGCATGGAGAAGGCGTTGTTTAACTAGATTGAGCAGTAGGGGGCCGCATCACATAGAAATTAGTGCGATAGGGATTTAATGGGTCAAGTTTAATTTTCATTGGGGAACTGGTCCTCTAATAGAATTAAAACTTGACTCCTACTGACAATTAAATAGGATTAGAGCATAGCTAATGTCAAAGATAAAAGCGTCATCACCACACGGAACGGAGTTGGTAGAGCCAGAAAATAGGCACACATGACACTTTTTTCAGGGACTTAAATACGTATCTTCTGTCCCACACAGCAATATATGACATCGTTTTTGGGGATTGGCGAGGGCAGTTTCGAATTGTAATTTACTGAGTCAGTAGTTGGCTAGGCCGAAGCACTTCCCCTAGTTTATTTCTTACAGAGGTACGAACCATCTACAATTACCTTTATCATTGTCAAATTCTCCCGCGAAGCATTTTCCAAAATAAAGAAATCTCTGAGATGAACCTCATCGACGCCAAAGACACACATTCTTACACGACACTTGAACACTGCTCATACGTATATTTTAGCTCCTTACATCCGATTTCTCGTGCACTACACAACTATAGACGAATAAATCGTCGTATTAGGTTTGTGCGTAGCCACGACCTGGTCTGACAATTCCGTCAGCAAACCGTTACATCGCCAGCGCGTAAGGCATGTTGAATGGCATAACAAGCCCCCAAACTATTCTGAACAAAGAACTGATGACAATGAGAAGAATGCAGTTGATACGATTCAAGGGTGCTGAACTATATACAGCCGAATTTGCTATTCTATAGCGCATCAATCCTAGTAATTGGCACATGCGCTGGATTTGTGGCTACATTTAGCTTATTATAGACATATGTTTATATTTCGCCACTTGCAGCTAGCCTTTTGACACAGAATGATTGCGCCGAGAAAGGTGATTTGCAATTTCCTGACAAACCCGCTTCGTTCTTTGCACAGAAAGCATTGACGGCGCCACACTGCGTGCATAATAAGGGCATTTTAACGAAGCTCATACGACTGTGAATCGGAAAGATTCTTTTGTTAAATATAGCTAGCTAATCTACGCAAACAATGTATGCAGTCTATAAGATATAATTGCGACCACTTTTATTGTTTTATTCACAGTCAAAAGGAAGTAAATTTATACTCTTACAACATAGTTTTACATTGGCCAACTGAAGTCATGTAATGATTCCGCTACTACGCACCAGCTGGACGTGCCCCCACCTTTTCTAAATCATCCATGTGAATCTAGATCAATCGTGATTCTTCAAGCTCGGTGGTACGATGGCGAATCGCAGATAGCGAAGCTAAAATCTGGCGGAAATCATCCCCAAGCGCACACCGTGACTTATGGAAAGAGCCGACGTGCCGCCATTGTTAGGTGAACGTACGAGAAGTAGCAGCTGGTGGGTCGGCCTTTGTCAGCACCACTCAATGAGCAAAGGATATACCACCTTTAATGAAAGAATCAGCAATACGGCGGGTACACCAATGTTTTTACCCCCGACATTCAGAAGAGTGAAAATAATGTCTCTATCCAGTGAGCCATTGGAGCTCATGGCATCGCTCCTTTACTATTTCCCTACTTCGTTACGACTTCCATGATGGTCTGACCCTAATGGTATTGTGCACCATAGCGGATACGGATGTTCTCAATCGCTGCAGCTCCGAATGTAGTCAGTTCCGCTGAGGAGTGGTGGCTTGTGGGGATAAGAATAACCAGTAAAGCATCTTTTTGGTGTCTTTTAACTCTTGGTAGATCAAAACATCCGCGCATTTAGACGAGAAAGAGCTTTGCTCTCACGCAGAGCATCTATAGACGGCTCAATACCGTAATCGCAAGGTGATGATTGAATAAATGTGCGTGTATTTTGCGCTTCCAGATGAGCAAGGAAAAATGTCTGTGTCAGCTCTAGAATGAAGGTGACGAATTGGACATCCACGACACAGGTCACTCACTTATCGCCGTCGAACGCCTTAATAAATCGCTACCTGTGTTTAGTCTGGGTGGAGGGGTATGCTCAAAATTTATATAGTTACCAAGACCGCTCTTATCGAAGATCACTTTTAGCATTTTCACCGAGAACTGCTTGGAAGGGGCCGACCTAAGGACCGCGCCATGCCCAGAGGCTAATAGTTTGAGTAGCAGGCACGGTTGAGTGCAAAAAGTTCGATGGAGACGGGTTTCTTGTCGTGAATGCACTTTTTATCGTAGTGTAACTGAAAGACAAAAAGAATTTGAGCTCAAGTCGATATACATTTTTGATGTGACGGGTTCGGTTTTATTTTACACATACACCTTTTGGCGCAACTGCAAACAGAATACTGTAGAAATCACATCCGAATTTATAATGGTAATGCAAACGTGAAATCTCATTATTATTTTCGAAGAATCGCGAATCTGTAAAGACGAGATCCTTATACCACGTGATATACTTACCGCACGTCGAGGTGATATAGCCAGTTTTTGCCTGAGGCACAATAAATATATAGACTTGTTCGTAGTCCCGGTATAAGTATAGATCAATTTCAATAAAGTAGAGCTAATTGATACTGATATAAAAGTGACTTTGATGGTTCTCCGTTTCTTTTTTAGGTTAATTGCTGTAAGCCCCGCATCTTTGCTTGGTTGTCACATTAAATTCCAAACGAAGCTACATCCGTGCAACCGATCAGCTCGATAAAAAGTAACAATTGCTCAAAACTGTAGTTGTATCAGTATGTTTCTCTGTGTCGTTATGTTCATTTAAACTGATGATTTCATGCCCATCCATAATCCTATCACAAACATCAAGTTAAGTCTACAACAGTTTCGATAGTTATACTTGCGTAGTGCTCGTTCAAAATGGCTTGCTTGTAGGCTTACACTCACTAAAAAGCATTCTTTCGATTTGAACCCTTTCGACTCAATAGTCATAATAGAGATATAATCGTGGCAACAACTGTAATAGGATAACCCTCAATTGCACATGTTGTGTGAACGACATAATTTTGCGTGTGATCAACATTAGCTATATATCTTGCATAATGAGTATTCCTTAATTATGTTTTACTTGGAGGCAATAATCAGTTTAGGGAAGGTTAAAGGCATATTTGGCTGCAAAATATGTCACTACACCCTTTTCCTTCTCGTTCGCGTACATTGACGACTCGAGCATCAAATGGTGAAGCGTTTTAACCCATTTCACTTTTCATCAGTAAGTACATTTATAAGGACGGGCACCTCCCGTTTCATAAACACGGAGGAACGGGTCTAGAGATATTATTCTTTTCCCCAACGTGACCATTTTTCATTGCCTGCAACCTGCTACTGAGCTCTTATTTCCAGAATGCTACCCGACCCTCCAGGTATGAAATATGTACACCGAATTGGAATTCATCATTCTCCACTTTGAAAGAGGTCCCGACACCATAGTGAGAACATGAATCTAGCGAAATTTGTCATCTCCTGGCATCCTTGTATGGCCAACGAGAGCTTAAAACGGTCGGTAAGGCGGTGCAAACACCTGTGACATATGGAACGCTTTGAATCTCATCATATTAAAAAGCCCCCACCGCTGGACAGTGAATGTTAATGCTTATTCGCGCTCTCGGTCTCCTAGCTTGTAGACCGTAAGCGATACTAGTTGTTGCCTCGCTTAAAACATATCCAATCCATGGCTATCCCAACTTACTCAAACAGTGGAGGCCTTTTTCTCCGTCTCTTCTTTCGAAAGGCTAGGCTTTGAATATCAGCGGCTTTACGATGCGTGCCAGCCGCGCTTAGGTTATGGAAGTAGTTGAATACTTAGCACGTAGCTAGTGAACGCCTCTCGGCATATTATTACCACTTACTTACGTAAAATAAGCCAACAGACGCGCTACAGCCTCGCGATGAGTACAAAAATATAGAGTGGCTAGCTGCTCAGATATTTAAAAATACAACTATCTTGCGTCCCACCCTCACCGAAAAACAGTCCTTTCACGATTTGGTTGCAGAAGACTGCGTATGATTGCAAAAGTATCGCAATTGCCGTGCGCCTTGTATAAAAGATGCTTTGACTAAAAAGTACATATTAAATGATTCACGAAAGTTAGATTCGTAAGATCAACCCAAGAGCGACTTTTAAAGCCTAAATTAAAATCTGCCGTGCTATTTCAAGAAAACATATATTGAGGATAAATTCTATTTCAGCAAGAACCAAATATATATGTTCTAATTTCTTGACATTTTCCGATTTTTATTGGCATGAGACGAACAGCCCACGTGAGTTAGTTGCGAGTCCTATCATCGTCAATTACGATACTTCGATAGTTTTGAATGTTTACAATCAAACAAAACTGTAATAGGAATTCATGCAGTTGTACAAAATCTAATCTGTACAATTAAATATATCTGTAAGGAGTACGTACAATGCTGTATTTCCCGTACAAAGTGAAACTCACCACGGATGCACCTTAACGCATCTTGCATTTCCTGCCCAGTCCAGTGAGCTCATGTCGCTCGATCATTCGACAAAATTCGTCGCACTCATTCAGGGCAAATATTGGAGCTTTGTGGTGGCTGTCACATTAACAACAAACCATGGCGCATCACATACCGCAAGTGGATCATTCTACTTACCCTACGCCCAATCTCCATATACGTATCTCTACGCTTGCTTTAGGCTCTCTCTCAGTCATTCTGTATGGACGTGGTGTAAATTTCTGACGAAAAGTACCTGACACCAGCTCCTTCAAAATTGCAAATTATCGAACAAAAAAGAAACATGCGTTAAGATATAGAAATGGTGAGTGGCGAGTTCGATTTTTCAAATTTGCAATACAAGACGGTTTGTCATCACGATTGATGTCACGCCTTGTGATTTGTCTTACCTACTTAGCATCTGTCCGCCGCAGACTTTTCTCAATGAGAATTGAAGCGTCCACTATCAAATAGAACGCCTTGTGGGTCGACGTCATCGACAGGGTCGGACCCAGTATCTTGTGAAGTGAAGGGGATGCGGGATGCCCAAGCTCCGGGAACTCGTGGGAGATTGTGGTGCCACTTCGGCAAGACTGTCCAAACGTCGTGGATGCTTACGACCGAAAGGACCATGACAGTCCGCGTCGTCGTGCTCGCCTGTGCTTCTCGTCGGTAGCCCAAGAAGCCGAAGGGCCATGATCTGCGATCAAGTAAAGGCCCTGAGCTGCTGTGGTTGCGGACTCACCCGTGAGAGAAACCACAGAGCTTGCGGGAGCGTGATGACTTATTCTGCGAAGTCAGCGTCGCGCCTTAAATTTGGCAAACTCAAACCGAAGATGGCGTTCTACGCGCACGACCACTTCCTTATAGCTCCGCTGTAAATGAGCGAGGAAATTTTTCGTTGCCGCTGCACCCATCGCTCAAAGAGCTCCTCATCATTTGCAGCGGATTTGCCTAGGGCGAGCACCACAGGAATAGTTCGCATTGCGGGTACAGGAGCGCTTCCTTTTTGTGCTTGAAGTCGAGCGCGGTATCTACCCTTTGGGATTTATTGAGGTACCAAGAAGCGAGTTCGGAGAGCTTTTCGATGGTCAAGCTCATCTTGTGTAGTGGCCGAAGGCCCTACAACGTAGACGCCTAACGATCAAGTCATCGCGTCTTTCTTTACAGTTGCGGAATTTGCCGAGTGGAAGCCGTACTCCACTCGAGGGTCTATGACCGAATGTGAATACGAGCGCATGAGAGCCACTCTGTGGGTAGCATCTTCTGTGTCTCGTCGAGGCGACTGGTAATAATACCAGTTCCTTCGGAAGTCGAGAGGTCGGGGAACGGACACGGTGTCAATAAGGTTCGATTAGGGCTCACATCGCGCCGTCAACGCGACTCGCCCTCCTCGCTTCCCATTCTGGGAAAGGAATATCCGACTCGCAACTTTCTCTGGATATTCGACGAGGAAATCCGTCGCCCGTGGCGGGTGCGGTGTGAGGTTCCGGTTGCCGAGGGCTTGGGATGTGCCGGATGAAGCTGCGGACGTACTGTCCCAAGATGTATGTATCCCTTGCAACCAGCTAGACTGGGTATTTTTCGTGTCATAGCCGCAGGGCTAGAAAATGGTTAAAGATGGTGCTAGGGACGTTACGGTGTCTCAGACACGCGAGTCTCGTTTGAGGCAACAGTTAGATGTGAATTGTGGAAACTCACAATATTGATGGGGGGAAGTGTTAAGGGGTTACACCGACTCTTGTGTAAAAGGGTGAGTCACATAAGATGGTGTGAGCATACAAAAGTGTGGACTACTCAAGTCGGTGTATTCACGCAATGGTGTGGCTACACCGTAACAAGAAGCCACAATGTGGCTGTGTCAAAAGGTATGCATATTAATTAGGTTGTGCTATTTATTTAGGAGAATCTAGGTTCTAGATATTAACGGCTGTTCCGCAAATAAAACGAATAAATACAGTTTAACTTATGAACGGAAGACTTGGTTAATGTTTTCGGTACTCTTAGAGGTAGCGGATTGTGATCCGATACACTCGTACTGTTTCTAGTATAAAACTTAAGGTCGGTGATCTTAGTTAACTTCCTTTAAGAACGAGCAACGGCAGCCTCGCTGCTTTCCTCATCCAATGGGGACATTTTTCTGTCTTGACCCTCAGAGTTCAAGACGCTCAGCATTAGCAATCTCATGGTAGACACCGTCTGTTCCTTTACCAGCGCGATCCTCAACGTACCTCACTAGTGCATTCTTAGAGCTGATGAGTGCCTCAAGACGAGCGATTACAGCCTCTCACCAATCTGCTAATTTCATTGAGACGTAAGATAGACACAAACTTTTTCACGGGAGCAAGTATTCTAACATTTAATGTTCCATATTCACAAAAATATAGTCTCACTATTGATCGGCCGTGAAATCAAGCTCAAGTGCTATCAGGGTCAACAAGGTTGCCGCACACTTTGCACGGAATTTTTATCTCTCTTTCTTTGGGTTAACAATCGCACAGAGAATGAGTCCGTGTTCTACTAGCACGTGCGTGATCGAGCCCCTTCGATAAGTAACCCTGTTATGATGCTATGCTATTTCAAGTGTACATGTGCTTGGATTGATCCTCGAATTCCATATCCGTATTAGTTTTTGGAATTGTATGTTTCGGCGGAAAGCGATGTCAGTTCCCGCCGCAGCAGTCACGAAATTGTCTATCCGTCATGAGTGAGCTGGTCCAGGCTTGTGGAGACCATTTTGCACTTTCACAAGCGCGTGGGTTGCATCGCCTCTCACCTATCTCATTTTATCGTATCAAATCATCTAAAGTTGCTCGCAGAGCTTGGACGGCAACTTACACGCTCAATATGATGCATAACTAGGCACTTAAACGGCTGATAAAAAATAAAACTTTAAGCTTCAGAGTCAGCAAGAAATCACAACAATAAGAAAGAAGCCATCCCGACCAGCAGTGAGACTCCAATGTATCGGAAAATTGGGCGTATCAAGATCTGGCACATAGTATCCGATTTAAGCGGTAGAGTATTTCACCTGCTACTTGAAGTTACTCAAAATTTCGTTAAAAGACGGTAATTTATGAGTAATACATGTATATACTAATTCGGACTACGCGGTAATGACGACGATTCAAATTTGTATCCGAGGTGTGACTATAATCGGTGAATGTACTGTTACTTGAAGCGCTCAGAATATTGCAAAAGTGACGGATCGAACGACTGAAAGCCGAATATGTTGCGCTTACGCACTGAACGCGCAAATTCTCTCTCCGCGGTGATGTCGACTTGGTTGGTCGCCGTTTGGTGACTCGCGATGCTCTTCGAGCTTTCAAGGACAAAGTCCGCCGTCATCAGCACTCCGCCAAGCATCTTGCTGAGGTCGCACACCGCTGTGCGCAAGACCTCGAAAGCTTGGGGGACTTTGTGCACCGACTGCCCCACGTTAAGGATTATCGCGCACTGTCGGCATGGCTCCTAGCCGTCGAGCAGACGAATACGTCACTTAGTGCGATGGTGGATCGCCACAGTCGTGTGGTGCATGGGGGGACTAATGAAGAG